GGCAGAAGCTACTGAAGGAGAAGGCAAATTGAGTCCATTTGCAGAGCTCAAAGCAGTCCAATTGGCCCTGGACATTGCCAAACGAGAGAAGTGGCCAAGGCTTTACCTCTACACTGACTCATGGATGACAGCCAATGCTCTGTGTGGGTGGCTGGACCGATGGAAGAAGACTAATTGGAAGCGTAGAGGAAAACCCATCTGGGCTGCTGATATGTAGCAAGACATTGATGCCCAGGTAGAGAAGCTGACTGTGAGAGTCTGCCACGTAGATGCCCACGTGCCCAAAAATCAAGCTAATGGGGAACATCACAACAACAAACAGGCAGACTGAGCAGCACAAGTCAAGGTGTCACAGTTAGATCTGGACTGGCAGCATAAGGGAGAGATGTTCCTAGCTTGATGGGCCCATGATGCCTCAGGACATCAGGGCAGAGATGCCACCTATAGATGGGCACAAGACCGAGGTGCTCCACTAAAGCCACTCTCTCACCCTCCCTCTGCAACTGGACAGAGAAGAGAGAAAAAAACCAGCTAAGAATTCATGAGTAGAGATAAGAGCTGGGAGAGGTCAGTGACTGATTACCTTCACAGGCAAAACAAGACTCAAAGTGGGGATAAATCTTATTTTATTACTAACAGGATAAGAACCAAAGAGTGAGAGATAAAACAGTCTTAAAAATACCTTCCCCCCACCCCTCTTTCCTTCCATGTTCTCCCTCCTCTCCCCCAGCGGTGCAGGACAGGGAATGGGAGTTGTGGTCAGTTGTTGTTTCTGCCGCTGCTCAGAGAGAGGAGTCTTTCCCCTGCTCTCATGGGGTCCTTCCCACAGCAGACAGTCCTTGATGGACCTCTCTAGTCCATACATCGAGCAGCAACTCTTCCCAAACTGCTGTCCCGTGAAGTCCATCCTGGAGTTGGCTGGCATGGGCTTCATGGGACAGGGGAAGCTTCTAGCAGCTTCTAACAGAAGCCACTCCTGTAGCCACCCCTGCTACCAAAACCCAGCCACAGAAACCCACTTCAGACAGTGAGCAGATGACTATGTGAGGCTGAGTGACCTGATGGAGTCAAACCACCACAGCTTGTTAAATTATCTATAAATCACTTCTTCTGTTGATCTGCTTGCTGCTATTAGCATAATTAAAGTTTTCTCTGCTTTGTCTTCCTTTCCCCCCCCTATTTTTAATAATGTTATATCCTTTATTATTTGCTCTGTGGATTCCTTGCTTCCACCTGATGCATTAGCAGCAATAGGCATTTCATCTACTGAAAGTATCTCTCTTCTTGACTTTTTATCCTGCCTAGAGTTATCTAAGATGGAATTCATCCTTTTAAAATTTCAGTTTCAACAAGGAGAAATATTCCATCAAGGAGAAATACTGTGGTAGGTACTATCTCACTGGGGAAAATCACCTTCTGGAAATACCTTTCTTTCCATCAGTTACCATGAGACCACAGAATTTACATAGATGACATATCTAACATTTTGGTAAAAAGGTAAGAGCTTAGATGATATCCACTGACAGCATCTAAAGATTGGTTTATATCTAAAGACTGGTTATATATCCTACTAAAGAACATTTTACTTTTTTTTCAAAATTCCTCTCTCAAATTGTCTTTTTTATTTTATTTGCAACCTACCACAGAAGAATACTGAGCATAATTGTACTGCAAATGTTTTCTTAATTACTAGGTTCTTTGAATATAGTGCAATTTACCTGACCTAATTGTTGCCATCTAAAGATTAAGAATTGTGAGGGAAAACAAGTCTCTTCAAACCTGTTCCAGCTCTCTGCAGTCCTCTATACCGTAAATCATTTACAGCTCTCACCTTACTGTATAGAAAATATAGATTGAAGCTAGGTTATTAAGGTGTTCATTATATTTAAGGTCCCTTCCAACCCAGGACATTCTATGATGCTATGATCCATATTGTAGACAGAGTGGAGGTTAAAATCACTTATTTCTTTCCCTGAAAAGCACCTGGGTGAGCCATTTAATACATCCCTTTAATTTTTTCCTTGAGTTAGAGAATTGCTTAGCAGCATCAAAGTCTTTGGATGGTGTTGAAGTACACAGTTTACTAAAACATGTATCAGTAAGAAAGGACAATTTCTACTCCTTTGCCAGTTCTATAAAAATCGTTGGCTCATAATACATAAACTCAAATGTATCCAGCACCTTCAGCCTGAATACATTTGTGCATTTTTTTCAAAATATTTTTTATAAAAATTTTGGTCCAAAATAATATGTTTCTCTCTTAGGTAAGAAAAACATAAATAACAATTATGTTTCCAGGTTGAGTAAGTGTCAAGGAGAACACTGTCCTGTGAAACAATCTATGGTGTCATTGTGATTATACAGACAGACTTACAACAAGTTATTGGTAGAAGTGTAAGAAAATATGCACTTAATATGCTAAAAAATTGGTCAAAAGGAAGGGATAAAAATAAATACATACAACTTAATACTTCTAATAGATATATGTTTGGTTATATTTCTTAAAAATTAATGTAACTTTCTTGTTTTCTTTCTGCAAACATCTCTTTTTTATGGCACTTGTAATAACTGATGGTTAGTGCCTCAAAAGGTTTCCCTTGAATTATAACCATGTAAACAATTTCATCACAATTTGGGTTAATGTTTTTTGTTTTAAAAAATTCTGATGTAGTTGAAGAAATTAATGTACTTTGCTGGGGGAAAAAAATTAAATACACATGGTAAATATTATTTTTTTTTTCCGAAAGGCTGCATTATTTTGAGAATAAATAACAGCTGTATGTATCTGTTTTATAAGCATTCATTGGCATCACTGCCAACAGAAATGCTTTTTAATTTCCAGACTAAATTTGAGCTCTATCAAAAGTGCAGTTTCTTTTTGGTTATTAGATAAGTCATTGGTTACTGATACAACCATGGAGTCCTGTGACTTCAAAGTGAAAGATGCAATAGTGGAATGCAGAAGAATCCTCAGATTCAGGCATCAGAAGCAGTGATAAGTCTACACATTAAGAAAAATCTTGGATATATTAGTTTCTGGCAGCAGTGAAAATGGTATTGTTTTCAGTACTGTCTGTCAGTGTATGACAGAGGTTTGTACTTTCTGAGGGTTTATACAGTGTCAGAAATAGCTAATGGAAAGTTTTCTAAATGGGAAGGAATTAGCCTAAATCTGTCTAAACTGGCCTTGTATTTTCCACAGGAACAATAAATCATTACATCTTGAACTTCTCCACCCACAGATCCTATAAAAAGATGAAGGAAATCTTAAAGTGATAGCACAGCTGTGGTCAAGGAGAGGTTTTAAGCTCCTTGAAGCAAAACTTAACCTTTGGCTTGGTAACTACCACAGCACACATCTGAATACATATTAAAATCATAGTATACAAAAAGCATGGAAAAAATTGAAGAGGCATACTATAATTCTGGAAAAGTACTTGAAATATTACATGTGGGTATAATCTCTTCTTTTTTCTTTTTTTCCTTGCAAGATGAAAATATTTGTTTTGAATATCTGTTCTTGTGTACAGAGGGACTTTTTTTTCGATGTTATTTGTCTTTGCCTCTTACACTCATGGTAGGGACTTGCATACTGTTCTGTCTCTTGAAGATTATATTTTAATTTTAATTATTTTAAAGTGACTGATCAATCTGTCTTACTACAATAATGTTTTTCTCATTCTAAACAGTGATTTCTGGAGACAAATCAAGAACACTAAGTAGCTATCCAGTGAAGTCACCTAGCAAATCAGATTCAGAAATAGCTTAGTCAAAACTCTATGTCTAAATAGGGTTTGTGGAGTTTCTGAATGTACTTACAGATTTGAACTTTGAGTTGGATTTGTTTGGATTTAAAGAGCTAGTTGTTCACATATTTCTATGTGAAATATTTCTATATAGAGGTAATGCCTTTCTGCCTTTCTTGCAAACTAAACATGATGGGTTGTTTGTCTTGGCCTACTTTCACTCCTGCTTCCCACTCTACGAAATACAGGTTTATGAACTAATGTCAGATAAACTATTTTCACGCATAAGTTTGAATGTTTCTAAGTACTATGCAGAACCAGAACAAGTTTTAGAATTTCAGAAATCATTAAAATTACTTGATTATATAAATCCATTTAAATAAATTAGTCTTTGTACATCCTATTTCCTGTCTTTGATGGATTTCACTGATAATATTTTTAAAATTTTAGAAATTTAAAACATATTAAAAGTGTACAATGTCACTTTCAAAACTATAGCTAATTCTTTAGCTGTCCAACATGAAAGAAGATGTCTCATAATCCAACTGAGTTAGTGTTGAAATTGGTTAAATACAAGTGTAGCTTAACTGTGTTACACTTAGCCTTTGTATGCCCGGTTAATTTGTAACAGCTAAAACACACGCTCTTCCAATCCCTTCAGTTCAGCCATTCAATATCTCTCCCAAACTCATACTCTCTTGCTACAGGGCAATTAATCCTTATCATGCTTTTTTAAAAGGTCAGTTTATGAACTCAGATAAGCAAAAAAAAAAAGTTAGTGAAGTGTGGGGTTTTTTTCCTCTTTCTTTTAGCATCAGCAAAAAGAAGAGCTACTGTTTTAGAATTGCAGATACATTTAGCTAATTTCTACATGATCGCATCAAAGACATTCCGTTCTCTAATTACTGAAATCTTCAAAGAAAAATACCAGAGAGAAAAAGCCCTGTCTTTCAACCATCATTGAACTTCTCATGCTAGTAAAAGTTGGAAGCATAATATGAGCGCAAAACCTATAAAGGCAAATACTGAAACACAGAAGCGAAATATGATCCCTTTGCCCTTTGGTATTTGGATGATAAAAATCTAAAACATTGCCCAATATCCTCATATCCCACTTATTCTTTTTATTCTTCTGCTTTCTGGATCTGAAAGCTCTTTTCCAGCCTAAATGATTTTATGATTCTATTCTTGATTTTTTTTTTTAAAAGAGCAGAATAACTTCTTCTGACATTTGTTATATGTTACCAATTCAAGGGTTTCATAAAGGCTGAAGTATTTCTGTCAAAACTAAGAAGAAGGTGGATAAGTGCAATGAAGAGAGATGGGCCATGAAGGGAGATTACACCAGCTTTTAGTTTGGTTGCCAAGTTGTCAATAAAGTCAACATTGTGAAGAAATGAAGTTTAAAGTCTGTACAATGAAGGTACATTCTACTTAGAAAAAGGAATGTAACTACTGCTTATAACTCTTGCAAAAGGCCATATTTTAAAAAAATAAAATTAAACCCAAATCATTTTGCTTTGTAATCACCCTTCCCAATAACAGTTAGACTTTACCAGTAAGCAAACCAAACCAAACCAAACAAAACCCCCAAACAAACAAAAGGAAAACTGTAAGGTAGCATTGGTTTGCAAGTAAAGAATAACTTGAAATTTTTGAATCAACAAAACTAAATTTACTGCAGGGGAACTATAACAATATGGCATATAGGAAAAGGAGGAGTGTAGTGTTTCTGATATAAAAGAGAGGATGATGACAAGGTTCTATGATTACAAGACAAAACAGTTTATAGAATAAGTTTATTGACATTGAAGATATATTTAGAGACATATTTATACAGAGATAGAAAAGGTTGGATGAAAAGCATTCTATCATATACTGAAGTGCTCAAGATTCTATGTAATGACAGTCTGACTTAAATAGTGTTAAAATCAATTTAGCTCAATACTAAGATTTACTAAATTGGTATAATGGGTCTACTGTGACCACAGACAAGGTGAACCAAATAGTATAGTGATTCTGATAGTTGTTTTATACATGTGTGGTTTCAATATTTTCATTTCTGTAAATATATGGTAGGAATATCAGGACAATTTATTGATACAGAATGCCAAATATTACATTTCCCACTGGTGTAGTGGGAAAATTCCTCCAACCCCCTAGTCCCCTCTCGTCCTCAAAAAAAACCAACTCCCCTGCAAAAAAAAAAACAAACCCAACCAACCAAAAAAAACTCAAAAAACTCCAACTACAAACAAACAAACAAATCCAAACAAAAAACCTCCAACTCCATTCCCCAGTAACTTATTTCTTTGATATATAAGCAATTAAACTCTCCTTAATTGCAAGACTGCAAACTTCCTTTACCTGCATGTACTCTCATGGACCTTCCCATGTATACAGTAATTGCAAAAAATAGTGTTATAGAAATGCATAATCTTCTTCAGAAACAGTAGTCAACATTTTGTTTTAATTAGTTGCAGATCTATTCCTTTCCCCATCCACTTGAAATAGAAAATAATACTTTCAATTGTGGTAGGCTTGCACAAGTATAGCTGACCTAAATATAATTAAGGAGCACTGAAGAGAAGGTGGTATTCGAGATGAAGCTTGTTGATGACAAAAAGCATTTTTTGCAAATTAATAATCTTCCATTGATTGGGTTATTTATGCTATTCCCAGGATGTGAGCATGGCAATTTACAGGAAAATGAATACTTTGTTTCCACTCTTAAAGAGCAGTATGTCTTGAAATAACAAAAGAAGAGGTTGACATGCCACATAGGTAATTTAGTTGCAGCTCCATTCCTATGAATCACAGCCAAGTAATTAATCTTTTACCTAGGAGACAGTATTAGTGATATTAATGAAATGTGGGAACAATACTCAACTTTGTATAAGGAAAAGCAAGTACCTAGTTTAGGGGAGATTGATACTTTGCACAAATATGGAGACATTGAATTTTGGTATCAGTGTGTCAAATGTCTAATTGATGGATATTACTACCATACAACAGTTTCACAGATTAAGAAACTGGACCTGGTTAAATGCATAGGAAATTTATAAGCATTGCAACAATAAAATCTGTAGAAAATTTTCTATTTTGTATGCAGCATGTGCTGTTTTCAGTCTAGTTGGTTTTTCATAGATTTAAAGACACTTCCTACAAATAGGAGTGCATCTGTTTTCCCCAAGAAACACATTACTCTGATTAAATATTTGAAATTAAGATGGAGTGATTTCATGTGTTAGTTTTGATTATGCTGGTTGGTTCAATGAAAAAAAATTGTCAATCTCTTATAAATGTTTCAAAAATCTGAAGTGGCATGACTTTGTGATTAAAATTGTTTAATTACCATTTCCTGAAATATTAGAAATCAACCAAAGAACAGAATTACCCTAAGAATTATCTGAAAGTTTTTCACCATAAAAATGTTTTTTTATATACCTGTGCTTAATTTTTTTTTTTTTAAATTGAATCAGTATGAGACCAAAGTAGTTAATTCTAGCTGTATAAGTGAGGTAAAGTTTCTTGTTAATTTGGAATGTGTGCTGACTCCTAAAAAGTGGCCTTGTATTCTTTACAGCCTCTCTGCCTGAGAGATTTTGTTTAAACTATAGCTGCTGTCTACTACAGGATCTATTAAGAAAGACAAAGCAGAAAATACTCAAATTCTTATACTTTCAAAAACAGATTAATAGAATAATTTGGATTGGAAGGAACATTTAAAGGTCATTTAGTACAACCTCCCTGCAACGAGCAGGGACATCTCATCAGATTGCTCAGAGCCCTGCCCAATCTGACCTTGAATGTTTCCAGAGTTAGGGCACCCACAATCGCTCTGGGCAACCTGTTATAGTGTTTCACCATCCCCATTGCAAAAAAAGAAAAAAAAATTCTTCCTTATATCTAGTCCAGTTTTTCTTTCTTCTGTTTTAAAACCATTACCCTTTGTCCTTTCACAACAGACTCTCTTTAAAAATCTGTCCCCTTCTTTCTTGTAAGTTCCCTATTAAATATTGAAAGGCTTCTATAAGGTGTCCCCAGAGCCTTCTCTTCTCCAGGCTGAACAGCCCAAACTCTCCCAACCTGTCATCACAGGAGAGGTGCTCCAGTCCTCTGATCATTTTCATGGCCTTCCTCTGGACTTGCTTCAACAGGTCCATCCATGTGTTTCCTGTGCTGAGGACTCCAGAGCTGGATAGATTATGCCAGGTAGGGTCTCATGAGAGTGAAGAGCAGAATCACCTCCCTCAACCTGCTGGCCACATAGAGATAGAAAAAAACCATTATTATGCCTATTAGAAAAATCAATAACAAAAAGAGATTACTGACTTTTCTGTTGAGCAGTGCTAGAACCCCTAAACTTGAAAGCAGGAAATTTGACATTTTCCAGTTATTATTCTTACATTGTGTACATGTTTTACTGCTCTTATAAAAATCTAAAAAAATATTGGTCAAATGAAAAGGTGATAAAATGAGTTTGCTGAAGTCTTCTTAGGCTATCACATCAAAAATCTCCGAAGACCGCAATGAGATGAGCTGGATTTTCTCCAGCTATTCCCTGATGCTTCAAGGTATACATAACATACAAACATTGAAAATAAGAGAAGTAAAATGTATTTACTTGCACCTTTCAATATCTTCCAAATCTGAGAAGCAAAAGAAGCCAGCATTGAAATAAAATATCCGGTACACAGGCTGAATGAGGATCTGGCATAGGTGATCAAGTATAGGAAGATGGGAGAGAACGCTTGGAAAATTAACCTAAGAAGTAACAGAAACATTGCATAAGTGTTATCCTTTACTTTGGCTGAACGCCAGGTGTCCACCAAGCCTGAGCAGACCCTCCCACCCCCCAAAAAGGGGAGATGAAAGAAAAAAAAAAACGTGAAAAACCTGGGCTTACCAAGGAAGAAAGTTTATATTTACACGGAGGAAAAAAAAAAAAAAAAAAACAAAAAACCCAAAAACACACTGGCAAAGGAAACCAACAGTAAAAAATTCTACCTCCCTCACGGAATGGCATCTCGGACAGACGTAGCTGCCTACAGGGCCATACTAGAAGAAAGAAGAAGGGCTGAGCTAATTCTCCCTTCCTTCTTATAGTCAGACTGACGTAACATAGTATGGAATATCCTGTTTCTCCCAGAGAGAGGAAGTGTTACTTTACTAGACAAACCCATTACAATCTGAAAATAGCCATTGAAAGATGCATGTTGAAAAAGGAAACAAGAGGGCACTGGGCACCAGATTGGTGGTAGGAACACCACAGATTTTTGAGAAGCCAACATGCTAGTCCTTTCCCATAAAATCCTTCAGACAGTCCAGACACATTAAGCAAAGTTCTTATCACGTGAAGACCTCTGGTTTTGTGTTCTTCCTAGTGCTTTTTAAATTTTTATCATGTAATATGATCCACTGTTCTGTTGACAGGTAATCTCATTTAAAAACTGATACTTTTTTTTTCTCATCAGTTAAAATATCACCATGCCATTTTGAATAATTTTCTTATAAAATACTTAAACATTTTTATTGCACATTTGCAGTACTGTCTCACATCTGAAAAGTAAAATGGTGTAATAAAATATTTCAGAAAGAGCATATGAGTTTTGAGATTTCAAACCTTGTGGAATTTCAGAAGTCTTCCTCGCTTCCTATCTATATGATACTCTTCATATTTTGGATAGGGAAGATCTGGAAAAAAAACACTGATCTGTTAGATTACTTGTTTAATGTTTCAACTAGCATCAGAAGCAGGCTGCTGTTGAAATTCCATAGTATATTCTGACTGGTTTACATGGCTGGCTAGTACTGAACTTTACTAAATTACGAGCTTTTCTGAGATAGGAAGCTTGGAGGAAGATATGAATATGTTGTGAATCCCGGTTTAAAACATTTTATTAAAAATAAAAATTATATTATTATTAATTTATAAATTCATATTAGAGCTACTTTTGCTAATACCTTTGATGGTGATTCTTTGAGGGATCCTAAACCATTCACTTACAATAGAATATGATGGCAAGATTTATCTCACCTACCTTCAGCCACTTAAAAATTAAGAATCTTGTCTGCTCTTTCACTAGTTAATAGCAGGGAAGAAGCATTTTTCCAAAGCAAATTATTCAATACAAAGTCCGTCATTCACTCTATTCTAAAATTGCATGAATCATTGCTTGGATGTGAATTGAACATTTCCCTCTCCATTGCAACGAGAATCAGCATAGAGTATATTAGCATAAGGTAAAATATTCATTAGGAAAAGCACATCTAACACTAGCTGTGCTAACTGCTTCCACACAAATTTACATTTTGAAAGATGCTATTTTGCTGATTAAAATACAACAAAATCAAACCTCTTACAGTAGCAGTAAAAGTGTCAATGTCAATTACATTGTACACACTACACAGAAAACTCTTGAAATGCGTTAATGAGAAAGAAACAGAAGTCACTGCTCTTAACTGCTAATTCAGGATTATGCGTTTTGGTAAAAACTGGATGACATAATTCAACAGAAACTTCAAACTTTACATTAGGTAGAGCTAGGTGCTTCTTCTATAGAAGTTACTTTATAGTTGCAATAGTTTTTCAAGAGGGCAACAGGGTCAAATCACATTCCTTTATTCTTAACTATATGTACATGAAAAACAAAGCACTGCAGATGTTATGTTTCCTAAAAGAAATATAGTTTGGTTTGGTGGTTTTTTTTAATTCTTATTTTTGATCATTATTAACGATTCATTGACTCAAGCCATTCCATCCATAACACATGAATGAGTTCTCTTATTGAGAGAGATAAAGGAATTTGAACAACACTTCAAATATTCCTTTTTTTTCACTATACACATTATTTTTAAACTGTAATTATTACGTTTGTTTTGCAAATAAAGTTATTTACAATTTTCTAGCTGATCATAATCAGAACCCTTTGGGGCAAGGCAGTGGGGTCACCAGGGTATGATCAAGACGTTAAATGTTTGCTTACCTAGAGATCCTACAATAATAATAAAAAAAAAATAAAATAATAAAATTCATGATAATTTTATTCTATGATGATAGTGTCATGCTATTTTACCATAAATAGGAAAAGCCAATCTACTTCTGAAAACATTCACAGCATAAAATTCTGACTTTAGATTTCATTAAGGCATTTTGTAAGAAGTATTTTATTGTTTGGTTCCTATCTAATTCTTACCTTATCATAAAATCAAAGAATAATTAAGGTTGGAAAAGGCCTCCAAGGTCATCAAGTCTAATCTTTGACCGAACACCACCTCATCAACTAAACCATACCGCTAAATGCCACACCCAGTTGTTTCTTGAACCCTTCCAGGGATGGTAACTCCACCACTTCTTTGGGAAGTCTGTTCCACTGCTTGAAAACACTTTCAGTGAAAAAATTCTTCCTGATGTCCAACCTGAACCTCCCCTGGTGCAGCACCTTGTCTAATTTTGAGTGATTAACTGGAAGTCAATGCATATGATGTTGAGCAGGTGATGCATGTGTCAGTGTGGGTGAGAGGGGAAGGAAGGATGAGGTGGGAACAAAGCACCCTGAGCATGTGGGCACTGACAGCAGAACTTTCAAAATTTTCACTAAAAAAAGAAAAAAAATTTTTAAAAGGAGTGAGCTTGGCAGTACAGTTGTTAGGTGTATATTTTAATTAATCTTTGTATTATTATATTCCTTTTAAAAAATCATGAATTATATTCTTGTCTATGTTATCTATGATTTTATTACCTAATTTCTATCCAGAGTTAGTTAAGACTTTTTAATTCCTTCTGTGAATATCCTCCCATAGTGAAATAGTAATTCAAAGCAGAAAAACTCAGAAAAATATCAATTTCTTAGAGCACATCTGTGCATTTTCAGCCTTTATGCCACCAGAGAGCAGCAAGGAACCCACATGTGCAGGGATTCCTGGTAAAAATGAGCTGTGAAGGTGTTCAGGGATCTGGCTTCATAGTCTGATGATGTGATAGCCCGTTGACCACAGCTGGGTTGAATTGAGCATTCAGGTGGACTACAGCCATCTGGTGATGGGGTGGTCTGGCTCTCAGACAGACCTACCAAAGGGAAATCTCAAGTCCAAGTAACCCCAAATTTGAGGGTTTCATTATATCTTACCGGATTGTTGGCAGAACCAGCTTGGTTTTATGATTCAGCATTTCTGCCTCACAGTCCTTAGTGACACAAATGCATCTTCCATTTGTCTTGTTAAACTGTCGAGGGTTTTTTCTCTTGATTTGTTTTTAACTATTGAATATCAGGTAGGATGAACACAATTGTAGGTATGTGTGGTAACTACTTAGTCAAACATGAAAATATCATCTTTACTTACATTTCATAGAACAATATATACAAAAGGAGAATTAATCTATATGGAATTTCCCTGTCTTCCTAGGCTTTCCCCCTTTCATGTCGCAGAAAATAAGACCAAGGAACTAAACCTTTTCTCTATCCAAGTTACAGAGAATGCAGTCAAAGCAATTTCAATGTAAATGGTTTCAAAGTATGTCTTTACACATTCCAGTTCATAGCTATCCCACTGGAACACGTGGAGGTCAGTTCTAATTTACGTCAAGCTGCTGCGGTCACAGAGAGATGAAAATAAAACACAGCACTTACCGCTAACAGAAAAGGCTTTTTTTTACCTTTATGGGGAAAAAAAATAGAAGAAAAAAAAGTAAGAGTGATTGCAGGAGGTCTATGCAGTGGGTATTTTTCCTTGATCTAGGATGATCTTACTTAGCAACCTCATGTCCATCTAAGTATAAAATATGCTTATTAATCTTGAAAATACTTTTCTACCGAAACTCTCTACTAGAGCCCTGTCTAAAATGGCAGATAATATACTTCTTTGAATATTGCTTTCTATAATGCTAATAACAGAAGACATAATATCCTGTACCCTACACATTGAATTGGACTGTTAATTGTTTCACTACAGAGAAAATATGATAAGAGTAACTTACAGAGAGACCAGCTGATATAAAACTTTATGTAAGGTAGAAAATTTTTTTTTTAATGAAATTTACTTTTACAAAATTTGACAGTGGTCCAAATTACTTGAGCATCAGAGGACAAGTGAGCATATTAATCCTGTAGAGTGGGTAATGTCCACTCTGCCTTTAGCGTGTAGATTGTCTTCATTCTGCATTACATTTATTATACAAAACTGTCTTATCCTCATCTTTATTATCAGCCTGTTTACGGTAGTTGTATGTCTATTCATCATTGTTCAGTATAATTCTCCATTGATTAAAATCACATTGGAAAATTAAAGCCTTTCCTCAAACTTAGACAAAAATATCTTCAGTTCCTGAAAAGTCTTTTCACCATGGCAGGAGGTTTTAAAAAATAATTCGTATTTATGTTCCTTTCAGACAAAATTTCTTGAGAAATGACATGTACTACGGTATTGGAAACTTTATCTTCCTGTCAAAGCTGATGCAGTAAAGTCAACTGAACAAGATAATAACATATCTCTTGTAAAGGTGGAAGGTGAGTCAGTGCACAGGGGAAGAAAGATGAAAGAAGCTTTCAAACTCAAATTATTTTGGAACAAACAGATATGTGCTAGCCAGTCTTAGCTGGCTAACATGATGAGTGCCAGGTCTAAGAATGTTGGATGTGTAGGAAAAGTTAAATAAGTTGAAAATGAAACACAGAAAAATCCCCCAAAGACATTGAAACTATGTTGCTTTGGTACTAAAAGGAATATTTTAATTTTGAGAATGGTGCTTGATTACTGTTAAGATATATTTTCCATGGGATATGCTTGAAAATAATTTAAAAAGAAATGAGTAAAAGTGATTTTATTTTACTAGTAAATGGGAAAATCATTACATACATTGGGGAGATTTAAAAATATCTTAAATAATTAAAACTATCAGTATAGGCATACTACATGTTGTATATGTTTTGCAAGTAAAAGTTTGTCTTGGAAAGCTAATATGTAAGTTTAGTAAGCATTCCGAACAAGTGATTTCCTTAATGTTTCCTGACTATTGTGTATAAAATGTAGGGAAAATTGCTGTGGTTAAAGTAGAGCAGTATAGGAAATTGGATGAACTTATTGCACTCTGCTGTGCATTTTCTTAAGCAAGAATATACTTCTCCAGTGACCTCATTACTCAAAGCTGTGAGTAGGTCGGTCTCTGAGAATTTACCCCAGAAGTCTAGAGTTGATTTTTTATTTCTTTCTCCTGTGTGTTAATTTCCACTAAACAGAATTCTGTTCAGAAGTTGAGGATCTACTCTACCCATTCAGATAAACCTGCTGTTAATTTTCCCAAATGTGACCTTGAACTCATTCAAGGGAACAATTCATTCAAAACAGCACCTTCAATTTTTAAATAATCAAGAGATAAGTTCCATATAAGTTCTTATAACTTATATGGATAATAAAAAGCACCGTTCTTCAGTCAACAGGACAAATTTACCTTTGCAAAAACTAATGAACAAAATGAAATATCAACTGCTAGTATTAGATGTCTATAAAATGTATTTGTTGCAGTTAAAGCAAACAGCTGTATGATACTTATACACTGAGGAAACATATAATAAATGCTGTCATGATTAATTCGTTCTTCTACAGTCATTTGAAAGACAAAATTTCATATGTGTGTGATTATTTTCTCCCTCCTCAGCAATTGTGTCTTTTGCTATGATGGTAGTTTTTATGTTTTGTGTTTCTAAGAGTTTTTTGGTGGTTTGGGTTAGGCTTTTTTTTGCCCGTTTCTCTCCTGATCTATGGTGTAGGAGAAATCATTAGAGTTTTGTTATTTTTTTCCTCTGCTTGTGAATAATTTTATAAAAATGTTGTTCTTCTATCTGAAGCTGCAGAGCTCCCCTTGTTGCTTGTAATGCAAAGTGAAATCTGACTGTCTTTTTCAAAGCAGCTAATCCAAACCATCTCAAGTGACACAGACCAGAGGGGAATCCTGGAAAAACAGAAGCCAGGATAATTCCAGATGAAACAGTATGGCAGGGACAAACTGTTCAGAGTTATGCCTCTTCATAGGGGAGCTAATCAGGAAAAAGTAGGAATTGGTTTATGAAGCAGAAGATACGATAAAAAAAATACAGATTCTGTAAACTTTCTATATATCTTCTGTGCAGTCACGTTTTGGAAAGAAAATGGTGAGCCATAACCTTTGGATTCCAAAAGTCACTAAAGTCGTATTGCCTTTGATCTATGTAGAGAAAATTATATTTGTATGGTTTGTGAGAAAACTAACACTTTATCTTCTCTGAGTGGAAAAAGGAAAGCATATTGCAAAGTTGAGGAAGCATTATTTTTTTCTTCTTTCATAAGTTCTCCCTATGTCTTTGTGTGGTGTTTTACAAAGTAAGTGGAGTATTAGACATCTGTGAAAATCTGCAGGTGGTAAAGGTTCAAAGAGTTTCTCTGGATATGTTACTTTATTCTTATTCAAATGCTAGGAAAAAAATGAAAACTGACATTTTCTCACTGTCTTGTTTTTAGATCTCTACAGTGAATGGGAACAGAAGATGGCATAGGCTCTCAGAAAAAATTAAAACAAGGAATATGTCTGTTCATAAATTTGATGACGTGGAATTCGAACTACACATAATGTTGTGATAGATGAACACCTTGAAGAACATTTTATTTGCTTATTTGAAAGAAACATTTTGGAAGTAGATTTTATATCCTTCTCTATAATCTCTCTGTCTATCTATACCTACATATTTATATTTAATTCTTTGCATCTGTATAGGGTCAAGACTTATTTAACGTTCAAGACTTTCACTGTATTATTTGACTGTTCTCATCTTTAAATAGGCTTATCTGAAGATATGATTTTCTAGAAAATTCTAGGGCAATATGCAAGGGCAAAATTGCCATTTTTTCTTAAATATGTGGATAATTTGGATGATTATTATTTGAATTAATCCACCAAGTTTCCCTATTCAAAGGACTCAGTGAGATGTGGAAGACATGATTTTCCTTGGTCTATCTGATGCTGAAGAAAAGCTTGAATTTCTCTCTGCCACATCGCATTTGAGATTCCCAGCTGCTAGATAAATTAATGTTACTCTTCAGTTTTACTGAAGAATTTGGATCTCAGGGGGAAATTTTGGTGCCAGAACCTAACTTTTTTAAGAAAATGGTCAGTTCAAAGCTTCTAAGAACTCTTGTTTCTAGCACAGCACTTTGTTTATTTTATTTTATTTTGAAACCTTATACTGGAGTAGTGGACCTATTTAATAATGATAATTACATAATTTGGTCTTCGAATTAGATATATGTTCCCATTTCAATGTGACTGTTCTTTTCCACATTTTTATTTCCTTCTGCAAGGGAGGGTATGGCTGGTCATTTAGATGATATGGTTTTTGTCATCTCTTGGATCAGTGACTTAATCATAGGATTTCATTTTAAAGAGGACTCACAGGTCTACTAATGCCAACAATAAGATGACCTGGTAATATTCAGAGTTCAAAGTTTAATCACAGTAGATCAATCATCACGAAGTTCAAAGAGCATTATTAAGCAAGCTGCATATTCTAGGTCTTGAGGCAATATAGAATTAATTGTCAGGAAAACACTGGAAAAGGAAAGCACTTTAATCTTCTTGTCCTCGGTGTGACACATGTCAAGTTTTGAAATATGCAACATGATGTCATAGCTGCAGAAAGAGAGGCCAATTTAGCCAAGGAGAAGGTGCAAAGTGACCTGGTAGAGCTTTTTTATTATTAATATTATTTTGAAGTTAATAAACCAAGTAATATTTAAAGGTGTAGTATCCAAATTTTGTTTCCAAATTTTTGCTACAAACTCTGAAGACATTTACTGATACTAATTCTTTTTTTTTTTCTCATGGTCAGATAATTGAGTATTTTAGAATATTAGTTCTCTTTGAAAGTTCATAATAATGAGTTCATATCAAGGAATTAAGACTGAATTCATCTCAGTATTAAAAAAGAAACTATGGTATTTCTTACAATGGAGCACGTCTTCAACACCTGTGAATCTCCAGATGTGTGTCTAAGCAAACTTTTAAACTGACTGTGCTGTATACACGAATGAAACAAAACTAACTAGTAAAATAGATGAAAGCGTAAAGAATCTTGACTTTGGTAATATAGTGACGTGTCTTTGGAGTCTTGAAAGGGGAAAAATCTTAGAAATAAATGTGATGATGATTTAATCAAACTTTCATTTATTTTTGCTTTGTTTTGTTTTCTTCCTGATATCTGGGATTATCCAATATGTGTCAAATAAGCACTATGGTTTTCTAAGATGAAATTGCTTGAATGACACCCACACAAAATGAAATGGAAATTTCAAATCATACACAGTTGTTTCTATGTCTTATGTAATCATGTATAGAAGCACGTATGATTTTCCAGTTTACTAACAAAGTTTCAGCAGCTCTAATATTATTGAATTTCAAACAATGATGGAGATAGTTCAGAAGAAAGTAATATGAAAAATCAGTGATACAGAACAATTCATAGCTGTGGTGTACTTGAAAAAACAAAGACTTTATTATTTTAAGAAAAATATAACTAAATCTATTAATTAATCATCATTGGAATTCAGTTGAGTGCCTGCATGAATATTCTATTTTGCAGAAACATATTCGTCGCTCTAGTATGTGCTAAACCCAGTATAGATAGAAGCTGGGGTAAGCAAAATGTAAAACAATACTTTACTCTCAATACACTAAACATGCTCATTGTTCATGCACATAAAATTCAGTGGTCTTTTACTAGTTTTGGTTTCTTAACCAAGAACCTATGAACACTTTTAGTCATGGAGTAGAATATTTCTAAAATCTCACAATAAAGTAAAACCAGTCTGGTGTAAAACATTTGTGGATTTGGTTTCATCTAGCATATTTGCCTTCACACTAAAATGGTTTTTCATCATGCATTACAACTGAGAAACAAGTTTAAGAAACAAATAAGTCAAGTTGTTGATTACTTCCTTTCTGATGAAATGGGGCATCACATTTTGTATGTATTTTTAGTCCCCTGAGAGTGATTTAAATGAAATGGTTCAAAGTGGTTTATTTTAATTTACTTAGAGGCTAACCATAAGCACTCAGAGGAGAATACTCATTCTCAGGCTCTCAGGAGGTTATAACAAACTGCTGTTAAGTGTTAGCTTCTTAGACTTAGTCTTAAGAGAAAACTACTTAGGTCTGCTGGGTTATGAAGAAGGGTGAACTCGAGGGTGAGAAGTTTATATACAGCCTGGAACACAGAAGAAACATTCCTAAATAACAATGGACAAACCATGAAACCCAGTGTGGAAATGACGACTGTTTTGGTTACAATGCTTGACTTCAGGATCAAGAGTTTACCAGGCCTGTTATATGGCTTGAAATTACATGCAATTGTAGAATCATAGAATGATTCAGGCTGGAAGGAACCTTAAAGATCATCTACTTCCAACCCTCCTGCCATGAGCAAGGACACCTTTTACTAGACCAGATTGCTTAAAGCCATGTCCAACCTGGTCTTGAGCACTTCCAGGGATGGGGCATCCACAGCTTCTCTGGGCAACCTGTTCCAGTGTCTCACCACACTCACAGTGAATATTTTCTTCCTAATACCTAATCTAAACCTGCCCACTTTCAGTTTAATGGCATTCCTCCTTATCCTATCACTACATGCCCTTCCATAAAGTTCCTCTCCACCTTTGTTGTAGGCCAGTAAACCCCACCATGTATGTATAAGGTTCCAGCAATAAATAGGACAAGAAATAACTGGCATTTGTTTCAGCAAGAGGGAAACACGCTTCCTGGCTTTTCAAATGGAAGGTCTTTGTCTCTGTTACAAAGCTGTATGCTTCAAAACTGTACATGAGAATTAATAAAGCTTTCAAAGGCTCTGTCTCTGTGAAATCTATGGGGTGCACAGCATGTTGCAAGGTGATATTTAACCTAATGTTGAGAAGATCTCATAGGTCATGTGTAATCTTATAAATATTGGAGGGTATTCCAGGAACTAGCAACGAAGACAATGATATACCCATTGTCAACTCTGTCCTTTCTTGGAAGTGCATTGGAGGTGCAACATAGACAACAGAAATGAAGCTGGTTTGCATGAAAACTAAACTAGGTTATTGTTATGAAAGTTGTTCTCAAGAACAGCTTGTAATGTCAGTGTAGATGCAGTTAGTGTTCCCCAATATATTATGTAAACCTTTGAGAAGTAGCTACTTTAAATAATAATGGATGATGAATAAGCCACTATAGACATAAAAGGCTCTAAAAGACATTTGCACAAGGTCTGTATTATCACTTGAACAGTAAATAAACATTTTTCACAGCACATTGCACTTGAATTACTAAGAATCTTGTATCAACATACTTGTCTAAACAGAAATCAATAGTCAATATTCTTACAGAAATATGTCGTCAGTTATTTACACAATACATTTCATCCATATAGCATGAAACCACAGTTTGATTTGACTTCCCACAATACCATAAATCAAAACAAACAAACACACAAATATACATCCTTAGAGAGAATGAAATATACTTTTGTTACTCAAGATACATATCAAATGGAATGAAAACTTTATTAATTTTAATTAACTCTTAATATTTTTTTAGGAGGCCAAAAGTATCTTAGGAAAATATTCTTCTGACAGTATTTTTTTAAAACCAAACTTTTCATTAATTTCTGAGAACTGATGTACGTAAGTAAGAAATCTTTTCCAGCTGAGTACTCTCCTTAAGCTTATTTAGGCAGAACATATTTGCAATAAAGTTAGAACCTCTTTTATCTCAAAAAGTATATTTGTAATGTAAAGTTAATGTAAAGCTAACTCTAAACTAATAGTGTGTCTGTAGAAAGTACTTTAAATGACATTCTACACTGTATCTGTTGTTTGAAAGTGGTTGCTTGAATTACGGTTCATTTCTGCAGCATAGAAGCTTGTAAAAAAGTACAAGAAGACCCAGACTCAAACCTGGTTTTGTTTTTTACTCTGATCTTATCATTAATTATGGTAGTTTGAAATTTCAGTAGGGCACTCACAGACCATTTTAGAGAGTGTTTTAAATGCTGTAATTAAATTGTAGGAGCACTATTTGCAAAAATAAAAATCTTAACGGAAAAAAAATCTTGCTATAACTATTTGGCCAACTGCCTTCTTGTTTTACCTCCCATTTTCACAGCTCTGACATGTAGCAGTGCATATTTTAACATAAAATAGCAAGTCTGAAACTCTGACATGCTGTATATTTATTCTTGTGTGAAGTAAAACTTTTTTTAAATAGTACAGATGATTATATCTATTTTTTCAAATGAAGTGTTTCTTTTAAAGTGTAAGGTTTATTTTCACACTTCTGATTGCCAGGGAAGCAGGAAACAGAGAGCTGTACATCAGACATTTAAATCCAGACATTATGCAATCATGATAACAAGGATTAATAAAGATTAATTTAGCTCCCACTTAAAATCTCTGGTGTTTCAGAAATACAACTGTCTAGCTTGTAAAAGGGGAATAATTATAATTTCCTTTTCAAATATGCCTCTTTGTTGCATAGTCGACAGTTGCCCATGATTTGAAGATTGTGTCAAACTATTCTCTAGTTAAAAACCTGTTAAAAAAAACACACACACAACCCCCCCCCCACCAACGAATACCTTGAATGTCTCATTGCTATTTCTTAGGAGGGTGGAACAGGTTTTATTTACCTATAGTGTAAAAAAATTCACTTTCTTCATTGATCAAAACTATAAATGATAAAGACA